TGACCTTGATATCATGACCCAAGCTGTGATCAAGAGTTGGACACAACCAACTGAGCCACTCGGATACCCTGATTTCTCTGTTTTTGATTTCTACTTTTGCCTTTACTATTTCCTTTCTTCCACTTGCTTTAGGTTTAATTTGCCTTTCATTTTCTAATTTCTTAGGGTAGAAGCTTGGATCACGGATTTTGAGAATTTTTTTTCTTTCCAAATATAAGCATTTAATAATACTAACCACTTATCTCTAAACACTAGTACTTCAGCTGCATCCTATAAATTTTGACATGTGTTTTCGTTTTTGTTCAATTAAAAATCTTTGGACCACTGGTTAGTTAAAGGTGAGCTGTTTAACTTCCATATATTTTGGCATATTACAAATATCTTTCTGTTACTAAGTTCTAGTTTCATTTCACTAGTGACAAACAACATTTTCAATTCTCCTAAATTTGTTAAGAGTTTTCTTTATAGGCCAGAAAATGGTCTATCTTATTCTGTGTGCACATTTACTCTGCTGTTGTTGAATGGAATGTTCCATATATGTCAGTCAGGTCCAGCTGGTCGATGCTGTTCATGTCATCTATGTCCTCCTGACTGATTATTTGTCTATAGGCCCTACCAGTATTGAGAGGGGTGTTGAAGTCTCAGCTGCATTGGTGGATTTGTCTATTTCTCTTTTCTGTTCTATCAGTTTTTGCTTTAAGTATTTTGAAGATCTCTTTATGGGTTTATAGACATAAGGATTGTAATGACTTTCTGGGAATTAACCCTCTGAATGTTATATTTTCTTTTTTAATACCTGCATTAAATTCCTTGTTTATACTATTAATGTTGCTGCTCCAATTTTCTTTTGATTAGTATGTACAGAATATTTCTTTTTCATTCCTTTCACTTTTAGCCTCTCTGAATCTTCATATTTTAAGTGGGTTTCTTATAGTCAGCATCTAAGTGGGTCTTGCTTTTATATCCATTCTGACTACCTTTATATTTTAATTGATGTATTTAGACAAGGTTTTGGCATACTTTTCTTTGTACAGAGTCAAATAGTAAATACATTAGAGTTTGTGGGTCATATGTTCTCCATAGCAACTACTCAACTGTGTCATTGTAGTGAAAAAACAGCCACAGACACAATGTAAAAGATGAGCATGGCTCTCTTCCAATAAAACTAACTATATATGGACAATTTTCATATAACTTTTGGAATATCCTTCTTTTGATGTTTTCCAACCATTTAAAAATGTAAAAACCATTCTTATATAATGGGCCATACAAAAAGTGGACCCTTATTCTACACTACTGGTCAAAACCACTCTTCTGTTTAAAAGCCTTCAGAGGCTTTCTATTGCTCTTAGGAGAAAATCTAAATTCCTTAAAACATTATATTTCTCAGCTCTCCTTGCCTTACACCCTAACCTCCAGATGGGAAAAATAAATTTACATTATATTTCAGGCTCTTTTCTAGCTTCTAAGGTTTTACTTCACCTGGACTGCTCTTTCTTGCCCTTTTTTGTATGCGACGTTCCTGCATATCTCTTAAGATTCTGTTTATGTATTTACTTCTGCTGTAAAAGTCCCGTTATGTACTAAGCACATCACTCTAAAACAACACTATCATACTGTCTCCCTCACCATTGTGCTTGGTACAGCAAAGATACTCATGAATGAATGAATGGATACTTTTAAATACAAGAGGAAACTGAGTGTGTGCAAATATTTACAATAATAACAGTCAAATTCCCACACATCATTGTTTTTAATGGTCCTCAGCATGCATTTTAACCAAACTGGTTTTAGAAAAAAATCTTCATTCTCAAAAAAACTGAAAGCATGTTCTTAATTACTAAGTGTCCCTTAGACTTTGATATTAAACTATTATGTAACAAGCTCAGAAGACTGTGCTAGTCCAATATGTCAATAAGCAAGAAAAAATAAGTTAAGACAACAAGCAAAGAAAACACTTCCTCTAATAAAAAAGTCTCTTCTTGGGTAGCCAAGGTGGCTCAGCGATTTAGCACTGTCTTCAGCCCAGGGCATGATCCTGGAGACGTGGGATCAAGTCCCATGTCAGGCTATCTGCATGGAGCCTACTTCTCCCTCTGCCTCTCTGTCTCTCATTAATAAATAAATAAAATCTTAAAAAAAAAAGATTTTAAAAAGTCTCTTCATAAGGAAAAGACACAAATATAGATAATTCCTAACAGGAATCTTCCTTTGAAAGAGGAAAACTCACTCCTGAATCTAAGAATAAATGTAAAACTTAATTTTTGTCAATTCTTACTTAAATTTCAAAGAATGACTAGTAATCTATAATACTTAAAAAAAGGAAGATCCCAAAGAAAGAAGGAGCTTTCACTGCAAACCTAGAAAAACATTCATCTCCACTGACAAAGATTTCTGCTCACAGTCTCAACATATCAGTATATCAGGTTATAACTCTATGGATATAAGCCGCAGTGATGGGGAAGAAGATAGAATAAAGAACAAATTTTTTTTTAAGAACAAAATTTTTTATACAACCCCCTTTGGTGTTCAGTTTTAAACCAAAAAAATACTTTACTGAAACAAAAACAGACACATTCAGCAGCTAAATTTTAATAACACTTGTTTTTTGTTTTCAGATATCTGCCTTTTTTTTTTTTTTTTTTTTTTTGTTAAGACTGCTGTGTACTTTTTGGCTAGTTCCAAATTAGAGAAAAATTCTGAAGTAGAATTTAAAAAGGACTCCTGAATATTTTTAAAACTCTACATTCAGGTATTCATTTTCAAAAGATTTATCATTTTTGTGTAGAATATCTCTGTCTCCTAATGAAAATGTAAACCTGTATTTGAGAAATAAATGGCTTGTGTGGAAGACTGAGTGAAAATTTTCTGGCTTAGTAGGAAACAAATGCATATAGCCAAAATCTCAAACCTAAGCATCTGTGACTTAAAACTAGCAGTATTTCTTTTATTGAGGTATGTTACCATATGATACATTCTAAATTTAAAATACTTTCAAATATAGTACATGGTACTTCTTATTTAAAATTAAACCCCAGAGGGGAATCTGGCTGGCTCAGTCAGTAGAGCATGCAACTCTTGATCTCAGGGTTGTAAATCTGAGCTTCATGCTGGGTGTAGAGATTACTTAAAAATAAAAAAATAATTTAAAAAATTAAACTTCAGAAATATATCTCATGAGTACAGTATGTTCAATGAAGCTGAAACAATAAACACAAGAGTTTATACCCAAAAGAGGCAAAAGAAAGCTGTCAACCTATATAAAATATACTATAAGTTAGAGAGACTATAGAACTATTAATATACTATATATTAACTAAATTGAATTTAAATTAAAAAAGAGACTGCAGAAAATCTACCTGAAAACTGTTTTCATGTTGACGAATCATCTAATTCTGAGACTGTCAAAAAATAGACCTCTTTTATTGACTACTCCAAGAGAAAAACTTTTAACAAGAAAAGCTGAGAGCATTCCCTCCAATTCTATGTCCATAATACAATCAGTAAATGATGGGGCATCCAATCAGTAAAAATTTTAGGTGGCTCTTCCAAATATAGCTTTTAAAAAGTCTGCATACAAGAAAGATATGTAGGCTTAAAGCCTTAAGTGAAAAGAATATATACATATGCAAAGAGATTGAGAGAATACATGTACATATTAACAACTGGTTGGTTCTGTGAGGTTGAATTAGGAGTGATTACTGTTTTCTTCATAAATTTCTGCATTTTCCACATTTTCTAAATTGAATATGTAATGATTATACTTTAAAATCCTACAAAATATCTATTATAGAATAATTGTAGAATAACTTTAGGATAACACTATAACAACACCTTAGAATATATTACACAAGCGACATATTTTAAATAATTCACTATGCTAAAACATCAATGAGATACATGTACTGAAAAGGTGATTTTTTTTAAACAAGTAAATCAGTGGCATCTTTGGCATCAATGGTACTCTACGAAGTTATGAAATTACTCTCCTAACATTTAATAATATTATGTTAAAATTTAATATTTTCAGATCTCCTCATTGGAAATTAATCCAATCTACAATTATTTATCATATCATCTTTTAAATACAAGTGTCTCAGAAGAAAATAAGCACTATCATAAAATCTCACTTGGGGCATGAATTAAAATGAATGGCTATAAACAATTCTATCAATTGCCAACAAAAAAGTCAATTTCAAAAATCAAAACATACTACCTCTGATACTAAACTACCATAATGAAAACAAAAGATATGCAAGCCATTTCCAATAAAGAACCACATGTCACTGAAACAAGCATTTGAACTTTAAAGTTGCTGAAAAGAAAAGTTTTAGACCTAACTTTACAATGATCACATCACATTATATCACCCATCTATAGTTTAATACAAAAATATGTCTTTGAGCACTGGGTGTTATTCTGTATGTTGGTAAATTGAACACCAATAAAAATTAATTTATTAAAAAAAAATATGTCTGAATATTGGTTGTCAAAACATCTCTCGCTATGCCTCTGTCATGGTGTTGATGTAAAATACCACTTCTGTCTCACTCTAGGCAATTTACATATACAAACTTCTTTGGGTTTTTGTAACCTCTCCAGCTCAATGTTTTGTTAAATGAGTCTTTATGGTAAAAAGACTTCAACTGTCTTTACAAGACTATTAAGTCTTTTATTTTTTTATTTTTTTTATTTTTTTAATAAATTAATTTTTATTGGTGTTCAATTTACCAACATATAGAATAACACCCAGTGCTCATCCCGTCAAGTGTCTCCTTCAGTGCCCGTCACCCATTCACCCCCACCCCCCGCCCTCCTCCCCTTCCACCACCCCTAGTTCATTTCCCAGAGTTAGGAGTCTTTATGTTCTGTCTCCCTTTCTGATATTTCCCACACATATTAAGTCTTTTAAATGTTTTTAAACCAGTACTTAAGAGTAGGAAGTTTCTCCCGGCTGCGTGGTCAGGGAAGTGGTTGCTTAGGATTTGGAAGGACTATCAATGGACACCCAGAAGGACATTCAATCCCCAAAGTAGTAGCCAATGATATATATCTGAGGAGAATGTCACACAGAAAATGAAATAAAATCCAGGGATCCAATCAGATGCAGAGAATGTGGATATAGAATAATGTACAAGAAAAGGACTAAAAGATTGGTGGTTTTTGATGCTCGATGAAACATGGAGTTCAGAGGATTATCTTCGTTTGTACCTGGATTTACTGTTAATGTTGTATAGCCTTTGATTAGTGTATATATCTTTATGAATACAAATACACATGATTTCATTTAAAATCCATCTTGTATTTAGGTATCAATAGTTTCTATAAAGAAAAGCTTTTTTGTTCAATAATTGATAACAATTTACTTTTATTGTATATATAATCTGACACAGGGTGAAAAAGTGCTTCCTTAAACCACACTTTTAATCAAGGCTTAGAATCTTGTGGGGGCCTTGTTAAAAATGAAGTTTTCTAGGGCTCTTTGAAGATCTGATTAAGTTCGTTCCTTGGAAACTACTGTTTTACATCACCAAGTCTGTAAACTCTCCAGCATCATTTTGTTCTGTGTATACTAATGTACTTAGCATGAATGCATTATTTTGAGTTAAATTTTTCATTTTTCCTTGATATAGGCCTTCTGTATTTGTATATAATGCTTGACTATGTTTTTAAATATTGGCTGAGGGTGGGATGCGCAGGTGGCTCACCAAGTGAGCGTCTGTCTTTGGCTCAGGGCATGATCCCGGAGTCCTGGGATTGAGTCCCAAATCAGGATCCCTGCATGGAACCTGCTTCTCCCTCTGCCTATGTCTTTGCCTCTCTTTTTGTGTCTCTCATGAATAAATAAATAAAATCTTAAGTAAATTTTGAAAAAAAAAAAAAAAAACAGTACTGGGGATCCCTGGGTGGCGCAGCGGTTTGGCGCCTGCCTTTGGCCCAGGGCGCGATCCTGGAGACCTGGGATCGAATCCCACGTCGGGCTCCCGGTGCATGGAGCCTGCTTCTCCCTCTGCCTGTGTCTCTGCCTCTCTCTCTCTCTCTCTCTCTCTGTGTGACTATCATTAAAAAAAAAATAAAAATAAAAAAAAAACAGTACTCAAGCACAATAAGGATTTTTTAACCCAAACTATTATTTAAGGTTCAAAGTATCACTGATATGCCAGATGAAATATTAAAAATGAGAATACACATAGTATTTTTTAAAAGAAAGAAAAGGTGCCAAGAGGAGAAGACAGAAAAAAATTTCTGGAAGATAAAATAAGATGGTAGAAATAAATCTCTAAATATGGGATCTAACGTGAAAGGTTTCTAGTATGAATCCTAGAAGGGTGAAGTGTATCAATTAGGGTTGGATCAAAGCAACAGAACCCAGTATGGGTGATAAAGAAGAATTTATTGTAAGGGTTACACCTTAGAATAAACTGTGGAGGCTGTTGGAGCAGTAGGTACAGGCTGTTGCCTCTGAATCTAATCTTGAGCCTGAAGTCACTACAGGTCAACCTGACCAGCAGTCAGGAAGGGAACTGGATAAACAGAGGAGCAAAAACAAATTGGAACCTATGAGGATGAGCTAGAATTGATAAAGACAACTGAAATCTACAAGAACAAACTGGATTCTGAGAGGACAACAGAAACTGGCAATGACAAACTGGAACTCACATCTGCTCTCACCAACTTTAACCTTGATGCCAAGGGTGAGCTATGTACAAGCTGGACAAGTGCTCAGAGACAAGGAAGGGGGAAATCTGGCAGGAGCTAAAGGAACTGCTGATCCTCGTGCAATCCCACACCTACAAGGTAAGCTAACAAATCAGTGATACTGTGCAGAGAGTTGACACAGTGTCTGGTACTCAGCACTGGCCCTCAGAGAGACAAAAAGCATGCCTGCCACTTCCTTGTGTCTCTTGTGACCACTACTAACCAAAACAATACAGGGAACAAAATCTGGGGAAACATTCCAGATTAGCCAAGCAGACCTAGTACATCACCACCTGAGACAGAAAACGTCCACATAACCTTGAACTATTACAAAAGGTATAAAGAGTGAAGAAGGACAGCTAGACAGACTGGTAAATCAGTGGTAAATAGGTCTAAGGAAATTCCTTTTCTTCTACAATGGGCAGGGGATTCAGTTATAGCCTGCCTAGGTACCCATGTTTGAAGCCTGACTTGACAACATGCCACCAATACTCTATGGTTAGGGTGAGAGATACTGCAAGCCTTGAGGTCCATCCTCACATTCAAGGTAAGAACTGCTGAGAAAATCCAACATTGACTATCATCATAAATTTAAAAACCCAGATCAGCTAATACAATTCTATCTTCATATTTTAATAGGAATAAGCAAGCATCCACAGATCATAAGGAATCAAAAACATGAAAGTGAGGCCACAGAGCTATTGGCTCTCAAGAAAATAGTAAATAAAGAAAATGAAGTACAAAAAAGAAAAAAAAATGCATGCATCCTGTCCTCCTCATCTCCAGTTGCTTCCTGTCGGGCAGCTGGGGCTACTGCTGCTAATTCTGCTTTCACTTCAGCATCATGGCAGAGACAATGGCTGCAGTGGGATACAGAGGGCAGTGAAGAAGGCTGGGCTCATCTAAGATGGTAATCTCCTGTATTTGATGAGGATTGAGTTATACAGGTGTGTGAACTGTCAAAATCAACAAATGGTACTTTTGAGATTTTTTTCATTTCACTGTAAGTAAATCTCACCACCAAAAAAAATTAAATTCTAGGTAATGACATGCACAATGAAATGTTTAGGTGTAAAAAGCACTGTCAGCAACTACTTATTTTGAAATGCTTCAAAAAAGCAGATGAACTGCTAGACTGATAGAGGGATGGATAGATGGACAAATTTGTGATAAAGCATTATACCAAAATATCCATTGTAAACTCTAGATCAGGGGTCAGCAAACTATATAGCCTGTAGGCCACATCCTCTGGTCTGCCACCTGTTTTTGTTATGGCCCATGAGCTAATAACAGGTTTTATATTTCTTAAAAGTTGAAAATAAATGACTAACCCATGACATGAATGTGAATTCTGAAATACAAATTTCAATGTCCATAAAGTTTGATTGGAACACAGCCACATTTATTCACTTATTCATTTATTCATACTGTCCACGGCTGGTTTTGCACTATAATAGGACAGTTGAATAGTTGTAACAGATACTGTATGGCTTGCAAAACCTAAAATATCTACTATCTGGATCTTTTCAAAAAAGTTTGCCAATCTCTGCTCTCGGCAATGAGTATACAAATGTTTAATTCTTTCAATTTTTCTGTGTATTTGAAAATATAATAGAATGCAAAAAGTATATAATAAAATCAGTATCTTAGCTGACTCTACATTGGCCCATTGGGAGGTTAAGGGAGATTCTATCTGACTTAAGTGCTGTAGGCAGCTTTTCTAAAACCTACCCAGAAGAAAAAAATCATGTGTTTAAGAATCTCAAATGGAGAGAAAAATAGCACCAAGACTCTTCTAAAGCTGAGAATCCTAAAGAGATGCCCCTGTCCATTAAAACTGGGCAACAGCCAGTGAAAGTATCAAGGCAAACTGACATCATATGAAGTCTTAGGTCAAAGAAAGAAAACAGACATCCATAAGAAATCAAAACATCAAGCCTTCCTCCACTCTTTCTCAGTTGAAGACTGGTAGCTTCCAAGGGCTGCCATTTTTTTTAATAAATTTATTTTTTATTGGTGTTCAATTTACCAACATACAGAATAACACCCAGGGCTCATCCCGTCAAGTGCCCCCCTCAGTGCCCGTCACCCATTCACCCCCACCCCCCGCCCTCCTCCCCTTCCACTACCCCTAGTTCATTTCCCAGAGTTAGGAGTCTTTATGTTCTGTCTCCCTTTCTGATATTTCCCACACATTTCTTCTCCCTTCCCTTATATTCCCTTTCACTATTATTTATATTCCCCAAATGAATGAGAATATATAATGTTTGTCCTTCTCTGATTGACTTACTTCACTCAGTATAATACCCTCCAGTTCCATCCACGTTGAAGCAAATGGCGGGTATTTGTCGTTTCTAATGGCTGAGTAATACTCCATTGTATACATAAAACACATCTTCTTTATCCATTCATCCCATTAAGAAGGTATCACAATCTAGGTTGCTTAAAACAAGAGAAATTTATTCTCTCACAATTCTGGAGGCTAGAGGTCAGAAATCAAAGTATTGGCAGGGCTGTGCTTCCTCTGAAGGCTATAGGGAAGAATTGTGCCTTGTCTCTTCCTAACTTCTTGAGGTTTCCAGCAAACCTTGGCACTCTTTGGCTTATAGCTGTATCACTGCAAACTCTGACTCCATCTTCACATGGCTTTCTTCCTTATTTTCCTGTGTCTCTGTTTAAATTTCTCTTCCTTAAAAGATACATCATTGGGGACGCCTGGGTGGCTCAGTGGTTGGGCGTCTGCCTTTGGCTCAGGTGTGAACCTGTGGTCTGGGATCCAGTCCCACGTAGGGCTCCTTGTGGGAAGCCTGCTTCTCCCTCTGCCTCTCTCTCTCTCTCTGTCTCTCATGAATGAATAAATAAATTTTAAAAACTTTAAAAAAAAAAGATACATCATTGGATTTAAAGTAAACCCTACTCAAGTATGACTCACTTGATTATACCTGCAAAGACCCCACATCTATGTAAGGTAATACTTACAGTTACTGAAGGTCAGGATTTCAATTTATCTTTTTTGGGAGAAAACAATTTAACCCACAACAAAGGCTATTCTATTTCACTAAGAAACTGAAACAGTCAAGAAACCTTCTACATGTGTCACCAAATCTGTACGTCAAATATGGTAGAAGAGGTGTGCCTGGGTGGCTCAGTCAGTTAAGCTTCCAACTCTTGATTTTGGCTCAGGTCACGACCTCAAGGTCATGAGACTGAGTCCTGTGTCAGGCTCCGCAATGGGTGTGAAGCTTGCCTATGATTCTCTCTCTCCCCCTGCCCTGGCCTCCCTCACCCCCACTCACATTCGTGCACTCACATTCAAGCTACTCTCTCCTCTCTAAAAAAAAAAAAAAAAAAAAAAAAGGGGGGGGGGGAAAGGAAAACTCCTCAGAAGAATAACCTATACTTATTGATTCCAATCTGGCTTTTGTCCTCAGCCCTCAGCACTTCACCAAAATTGATCTTATAAAGATAAATAATGAGGGTAGCCCCGGTGCTTCAGCGGTTTAGTGTCACCTTCACCCCAGGGTGTGATCCTGGAGACCCGGGATCGAGTCCCATGTCAGGCTCCCTG